GCACTAAAGGCCACTTGTATAAAAATTGTGTTCCCTTGTCAGCCAGAATCTGAAAAGCATCTTTGTAGCATGGAGAAAATTTCAGTGAGCAAGGCACAAATACTAGTAATAATAAGATGCCATAACTAGAAAACAAAATGCAGTTGGCCACGTAACCTTCAGACTCAGCATATTCTTGAGGATGGAAACAGGATCCCACTTCCAGTATTTCGCTTCACTTAACTTCCGAGGGAAGCTACTAAAAGCTGAATTGGGAAGGATCAAACCTTTCAGCCTAAACAATCAGAAACAATAATGATACCCAGGATCTTCATTCCCACAGTGCCCGGCTAAAAACACTTGAAAATGGCCCTTTTTTCTTCTGCACTTCTGAAAATGGTCTTCAGAAGTGAACACCCACACTCAGCTGGGCTCCTGAAAAAGCAGAATCACACCAAATTCGTGAGGTGCTGTAGAAAATTCAGGTTTGAAGCTCTTAGGCACCTAAAGCTTAGTGGAGGGGGCTGTGGGGTTCAAGGAATCAAGATCCAGCTCTTTCTCACATGCTCTGCACTAAGCGGGATGAAGTCAGTTCTTACGTAGGCAGATGTGACCCCGCTGCAACAACTGGGCTCCCAGCAGGGCTGAATTTGCTCCTTAATCTGCATTTTCTGATTGCTTTAGGCTGTGATCTTGCAAACTGATTGGGCCACGGTGCTCGCCTGAAGGCCACAAGTCAGCAGCCCCGCTATGCACGGGTTCAGGTGGGAATTAGTTTGTCGTGCTGCTGGGCCACACTTTGAAGCAGAAAAATTTAAAACTGTTTCCACTCTGAACCGTAACAATGCAGCAAAGTTACAGATAAGAACAGAGCAAATATAGCCAAAGTCAGTCTAGGGACTTTTCAATCAATCTCTCCACGTGCTGAATTCCCTTTTATTTTGATAGGAGCCAGACTGATTAATTCAGTGCAGGGAAAAGCCAAGGCAAGGACAACAGCCATTACCTGACTAGATTTTTTTTTAAAGGACCAACTCCTTAAATGGAGCATAAACCACATTTTCTATACCTGCATACTTTAGCTAAACATTCACTTCTGCCTTAATGAAATATTCTCAGTTTGAATCTAAAGTGAGGAAGCTTGATTGATAATAATGCTGCAAAGAGAGGTACACAATATAAACACAGATTCACCTTTTCAAAAACTTACAGATGTGCGTGATTTGTTAGCGACTGAAAAATCAGCGTAAAAATGTAGCTAAGAAAAATGTCTCCAAATCAGTGCTGTCTTTCACAAGGAAATTAATAAATAAAGGTAGATTAGGACCCAATCCTGCTCCCACTGCATCAGTTTGAGAAGGTTTTTTACTGACTTCAAGGAGAGCAGAGGAAAGCCCCACACTTTCTGATTATGAAAAACATCTCAAGGCCTGAAATGAATCCTTGGTCACTCATAGGAGTTAAGAGTCAGCAAAGAGTGGATTCCAATAGTTAATTCTCTTTAGTGTTAACTATATACGTAAACAAAGTGTCAGTGTCAGTCTAGATGCTAGGAAGATCTGACCCGAACAAAATTGATAGCTGTTAAACTGAAATGTCACATAGAAATGGAAGAAGGGATAAATCTAATCCATTCCTAGTATGAAGAGTACTATTGACCCAGATGCCTCCCTCAAATGAAATTGTGAGTAATTGATTCCTTGTATGGGATGAACCTACTCTGCAAAACAGGTCCTGGCCTTTTAAATGTTGCCAGGGGCAATAACCACAGACACTTTGTTTTGTCCAGTATCTATGGCAGAAACATAAACTGCAGTTCCAAGGTTGACACACTTCCTGGACTCAACTTGAACTGGAGTCTGATGAAGTTTGTGTGCACGTCCCAGATCAGGGATGGTGCAGGGATGGTCTCCAGATCTCACCTTGCTGATGACATCTTGACATGTACCTGTTGTCAGCACAGGCAGCAGAACTGATGCACACCCTGTTTTTAATCCAGATGATGTAGGAGGCAGAGAGCTGCTAAGCACGTCACCATTCTGAACAGAGCAGTGACTGGTTTCAGTGCAAAGAAGTGTGTTAGAGAAAAAAGTATAATAAAATAAGCTAACCAGACCTTCCTTACACTGCAGAGGGTCTTGCTGAGCTTATCACCAGTGCCTTTTAAGAAGAGGCAGACCTTATCTGGCCAGTTAGCACATCATTAAATATTTCATGATGTGGCTACAAATGCCTGACCTGGTGTTTTTAAGCTGCATATAGTAAAGTGGTGC